ACGTTTTCATATCCCTTGCACAAATGAAGTTCAGATATATATAATTTTTAGGCACTCTTCAATGGGCATAGTTTTTATACATATATTATCCAATAACAGATTTTTCGGGACTGAAATGCCGTGTAAATATAAAGATATGGTTAGATCTTCTTTAATTTCTAAGATTGTGTCTGTTGTGTAATTCGAATTATTCAGCATGAATTTGATGATTTGACTGATTCAAATATGAAGGGGACAACTCTTTCTTAAAAGATGGACAGAGTTCGGAAATAATTAGAAATTCTGCGTGATTCTGCGGGTCTCCTAACTAAATTTCTTCTTGCCATTGGTTTTTGATGCGAAAGTTTTTTTTCGGGTATTTTCAGACTTGGAAGTGATCCAGGAAGAAGCCACGATTTTATTGACGCTACAAAAAAACAAAACCTTTATTAAATAACAAATGTATTTAACTAATATATATAGAAAGCGGCGTCAATTCGTTGTTATTGTTATACCTGGGAAAGAAAAAATACAATCATCTGTATAAAATGAAACAAACGTAGAATACTTATGAATTTCTTTTGTATGAAAATGGTCTTCACAAATAAATACATTACCATGATGAAGGCGTTTGCCGAAACTTAGGTTCGATGGATCGCGATATTTTAATAAAATGGATATCGTGTCTTTGCGTCAGTTTGCTGTGTCAACACCTGTGGTTATTTAATAATAAAAAAAACTTGAAAAATCTGAATTTTTTATAGCCTATATTAACATAACTTCACAATTGTTTAACTATACACTGAAAAAGCAACAATATTTGAGAGTGTTTGTGCGACTTTAGCTACCGGTACTGTTCAGTACATCCGTGTAAAATTATTGTATAAATAATATGCTGATTCAGAGCCGTACCTGGCCAGCGTCGGTGCGGAGTTTTCGATGGCTGTTTTACCCAACTAATAACATTAAAGTTTCCGTTTTTTTTTACATCTGCGCAAAATACCCTACCTAATATTGTAATTAGGTGACCAGTTGAGGTATATTTGGATTCTCCCCTACATTTTAACTTTCTGTAGTACTATATGCTGTGTCCTGCGTGTGTATAAAGTTTTTATCCTTGGTCGAATTTATGCTGTGTATAGCATGCAAATGTGTAAGGGTTAGTGTGATGTTAATGACTAAGATAATGGCATACATGTGTGTGGTTTGATCGACATCGAAAGATTTTTGCATGGTCCGTGAACAATTTCTCTTGTGTCCCAACCACAATCTCTTTTCTCTCAGGTCTTTCAACTAGCAGTCTAATGATATTTAATTAATATTAATCAATATTTACACAATTCAACAACTTCCACTCAAAGGTGTAGGGTAGTTTTCTATTGATTCCTTATTTGCAATCATTGAATATTGTACTCGCAGATATATTTTTCGTTTTTCAGGACGTCATGATGATCAATTTAAATGCTATCTATGTCAACATGAAAGGTGTATACATCAACAAAACTTGGAGACTGATGAATCATCCGTGATGAATTTGAACTGACCGCAGTGATCAACAACCTCAATTAAAGTTACTTGCCTATAATCCATGACCCTAGAAACCTTACTTGAACCTTAAACACCATATATATTCCCTTAACCAATTTTCCTACCTCTGTATCATATCGCCCTAATTAATTTTAATTATGATTACCGATACTGTTATTGATTAATAGTATTTAAAATAATTTGGACGTTATTTGGCTTGTTGTGGATTCTATTTGATGAGTGAAGCAGGTCTAGCCCACCTCTTCATACATCCAACTTGGCAATTCTGATTGGGCAATTTGGCATTAGATGACTCCAATTACAATCAGCTTGACGATATCTTTTGAGGAATACTTTTCTATCCACAATACATAACAACGTTTCGGTCTAACAACCACTTAGCATACATCAGAATAATGTTTAACTTACCTCTTATTTTTTTTTCCCATTTCTAACTCTTCTTATTGTTATCGTTTATATATTAGCCTATTTACCTCCAACACACAGCCTCTGCATAGCCCCACGAGTGTGTATTTAAAACATTGCTTAGCTTGTAAATTAATTAAAACTATCCGGTGATGTCCCTCTCAAATGCGATACCGGCACTGCGCCAAGAAGACAAAAGTCTTTAGCGCAGCCACAGAATAACCACGGCAGTCCGGCTCTCTTGGTTGGTTGTTCAATGATATGCGGTCACCATGGCGACCGCGGCCTGTCGTGTCTGGAGTTGCTTTCTTTCGTTATTATCCGGGTTACCGGGTCGCTTAATGGCGTCTCAAGTCCGGGTTTTGTTAGTATTTTATGTTTGACTTCTTTCTCATTATGATTTAATATTAGACTTACTGCCTCAAAGGTGACGCTGCTCGATAACCTTCTCTGGTTTATCGCGTCTCCCTTCACACTGAAATGTAATTTTTCATTTTTTTCAATTTTGTTCGTCAATGTTTACATTCGGTTTGGGATTAAATAAACTACTGACTGTTGACTAATTCGGTATCCAATTTGGCAATCCTCATAAAATTATTAATTTGGTGTGACAAAAGAATTTATTCATTTTTTTTTTTCATTTGTTTGTATATTTTCCTTCCTTTTTACTTTTAAGTCTCGCTTTTTTCGCTTCCGACAGTATCATGTCTCAATGATTGTGTGTGTGTGTGTGCGTGTGTGCCTTAATTAGTTTTTTTTTTTACTTTTGGGTGAGCGAACACGTACTACTCCTTTTATCAATACCTTTCCATCTAAAATCTGTACGTTTCAAACCTTACTCTAGGTTTTGTTCACTTTCCCGATTCTATAATCAGTTACTTTTACTTTTGTTTTTATCTATTTTTTTTTATCGTCTATTGCTGATTATGGAGTCGGAATAAACTTATACTTATTATTATACGTCATGACTTCACTTTCCAGCAGACGTACGTATTTCCGGTGAATAATGTTAGCGCAACCATCCCATAATTATGACGGTGCAGTTATAGAGAGTGAGATATTTTATTTCCGCAAGACTATGTTAAAAACATAATTGAAATTTTATAGAAATACGGTACCGGTACCGGTACACTGGTAGGCTGTAGTCGCGGGCCTGGGTTTGGACCACCCCGAGGTAGACGATAATAGGATAGTAATATGCAAAATTAGGTGTGGTAGAGTACTACGTATTTATCGTCATGATTTTTGTAAAAGAATGAAAGTGACAAGAGAGAGAGGCAGAGAGCTAGACTACATAACTATGAATTTTATATACCTAAGTCCCAGACTGGATTCCATGGCAGGTGCACGCCCGAGGGCGCTAGCGCTCCGCAAAAATGCACGCGAGCGAAATCAATTTTGCACGCCGAAAATTTGCAATTGCTCACCAATGTAAATCGGTTTAAATGGTTTTAAAATCAATAATCCAGTAATATAAAGATGCCAAAATATTATAACTCCACAATTGTCGACAAATACCAGCTTGCAAGATTTGGTCTGATCGAAATATTGCGAAGCAAAAAGACCATGGATCTTTCCCCAACCTTTGACCCGCGAAAAATTCCTCTCATTGTTACGTCCTTTTTTGCATCTTGCTGATTGGCCAATGTCACGAAGTAAACAAGAAGTCGATGCTCGGGGAAAGGTCCATATCGTGTTGAATGATAGGAAATAGGAATCCCGTGAGAATAGTTATGGACGAAAAGATCGCCTCCGCACCAATGGCCAAGTACGGCTCTGATTCAGCGTATTTTTATACAATAATTTTACACGAATGTACTGAACAGTACCGGTATCTAAAGTTGCTCAAACACTCCCAAAATTAGTGACAAAGTATGAAAATAATGTTTGGGGTCAAAGGTCAAACGTCCATTTTGCTCTAATTTGACGTATTTTTTATCCATTAATTCTACGTAAAAACACTACCAAAATTAATGACAAAGTATGTCCATTTTGCTCTGGTTCAACGTATTTTTTATCCAATAATTTTACGCGGATGTACTGAACAGTATCGGTATCCAAAGTCGCACAAACACTCTCAAAATTAGCGACAAACTGTAGAAATAATGTTTGCGGTCAAAGGTCAAACGTCCATTTTTTCTCTGATTCAACGTATTTTTTATCCGATACCGGTAATTTTACGCGGATGTATTGAGAGGTATCTGATGTCAAAGTCAGTTGCACGCGAGTGCAGTTGTTTTGCACGTCGTGAGCTATAATTGCACGCCAGGAATTCTTATTTGCACGCGGGAATTTCTGATTGCACGCCCGATTTCTCGTTCAAAAAGGCCATGAAATCCAGACTGGCCTAAGTCTCAGTGATGATCCATCTTGGATTAGTTGAGCTCTAGGATAGGTACCGGTAACGTACCATATTTGAGGTGAAAAAATTGAACTCGTGCTCTGAAACTGCGATGTCAAGGTTTTTTTTAATATTTTGAATTGCCTAGTTAGACTTCAACTGCCATATCACATTATGTTCTGATGTTTGTCCGGATACGGTACCGGTAATGATTTAAATTAATCGTGTTGGTTTTTTTTTCTCAATGCTATGAAAATATACTTTTTCCTTTGGTGAATCAAACTATTTTTTTCTGAGGAATTCAATGGTAACGTTTTTAGATTGCGCTTGCTTTTATTATATTCTGCAGTGTCGGTTTGCCTATATGGAGGCCCAGACTGTCCTAAATAGAGGGGTTTGCACTTATTGTTATAATTGATGTATTTCAATGTGGGACTATTCTTGGAGTCGCAGACTGTCTTGTAAATCAACCGTCTTGTAAAGGAAGGGTATGCTCTAACTGTTATAATTGATGTCTTTCAATGTGGGGCTATTCTCGAAATCGTAGAACTATGCGGTACTGTGGCTTGCGTTACGAATGGCCGAGTGTTATTGGTGCTATTGCAGTATACTGTGGTTGAAGACAGGATATGTATATTCATCTAACTTTTAAATGTAGTCAATTTTTTATTTACATGACAAATAAACATACTGTTCATGCCAGATTTTTAGTTATCTTGGTTTAAATATGGCAACTCAAGAATTGGAATTGTCTCTTCTGTCAAGGTTCCAAGGAGTTTCTCTCGGAGCTTTATTTGGGGACTGTTTGGGAGCTAAATTTGAAACTAATTGGAGCGTTTTGCCATATGAAAAAGTTATCTCTTATTATGAAACAATCAAAGATAAGGTTGCTATGGAAACACCAAAAGCTGATTCTGGTTTTGTTCATTACACTGATGACACCTGCATGACATTTGACCTTGCTAAATCGCTGACTAAAAATAGGAAGTATAAGCCACAAGATGTCGCTAAGCGATTTACAGAGACGTTTTTTGCTTCGCCAAAAGAAAGGAATTACGGAAGACATGTTGCGAAAGTCTTTAGTAAACTGAAAGAAAACAGTTGCCGTGGTGATGTTTATAAACCAGCAAGTGAACAGTTTGGTGGTTCTGGTTCCTATGGAAACGGTTCCGCTATGAGGGTTTCACCAGTTGCTTTGTTACATCATGATAATATTATCGAGATGTTAACCTTGGTAGTTGCGCAATCTAAGCTAACCCACACAAACCCAAGAGGAATCAACGGTGCCGTACTACAAGCGCTTGCAATTGAAAAAGCTATGACATCGGGAAAAATTGATAATGCTAAAATATTTTGCCAAGAATTATTAGATCAATTTAAAGAAATCACACCTATTAAAGAAGACATGGAAATTTTTGAAAATGGAATGTCAAATGTGATGGAATTACTTGAAAAAGAGAGTGAAGTTACACCAAGAGAAATTGTCTCGAAACTTGGTACGGGTGTGTTAGCTATCCAGGCCGTTCCGCCAGCAATTTTCTTTTTCTTACACTCACTAAAAACTAACAATGTTCCAACATTATCAACTTACAATGGCATGGTTAGAACTGTTCTTTACGCCACTTCTGTGAGCCACGACTCTGACACAGTTGCTTGTATGGCAGGGGCAATAGCTGGGGCATATTATGGAGTGGATTCTATCCCATCAGAATGGGTCACAGCTTGTGAGGGTTCTGATAAGGCTATGAAACTTGCTAATAAGCTGTATAAAATGAATGAGAACAGTAGAAAGAATAAAAAATCTTGACTCGTTATATTGTGAATGGCTCTCGGTGTTTTGTTGTCGTCTCTATAGATTCACTCATCATTGTCTTTGTTTTCTTATTGAGTTCTCGCGACCTTGTTTTGAATATTCCTAAAAAGGGCTGTGGATTCATAGGCCTTCTAATTGATGATTTTAGCTATATTAAAATACAAGCTATTCTCATAGTTTATGGTACAAATTTTTAATATATATTAAAATATAAATATTACTGTTTCATTTTTTAAATTTACCTATTTGCAGTAAGATGTCTATTTTATTCGTACCAAAATTCTTTGATTTTTTCTGACGGGATACAGAAAAACAATTAACATTCTTTCTCGATCATTATTCGATTCCAAGATACGTTATCTGATGGGCTATCAATGTGGCCTTTTCAATTGGTGTACATGAAACTGGACTTAAGTATCGCATAGATATAGACTTATTGAATTTCTTAGCAAGTGCTGGACCTAGTAAGTTCAACTTTTGAATACTTCGAAGATGGAGGGGGTGTCAGAAAACTATTACATTTGTATACTTCTCCCTGGGACAATTTTATCAAAAAAAATCTGTTCATATTTAATTATTGGGAAAATTTTCTTTTCAATATCTGCTACAATTATTTTTGTGTTGGCATTGCAATATTTTATTTAGTTTGCCTACTTTATTTGCATTTTCATGTTTTTGATGTTGACCTCGTGGGTCTGGAATAATAAACAAAAGAGAATATCGGTCAGAGACCGAAGACTTATCGATCGAAAGTTAGGAGATCCCCCAAAACAGCGCCCTCACTCCATAGTGACACCTTGCGTCCCATCACTAATCAATTAAGAACTCGCTAATTATACGACATAATTTGCCGAAAATCAATAGCAATAGGCTTCTGGTCCGAGATAAGATGAATGCACATGCAAAATCTGGAGCAGATTCAATCTCGCTTTCGTGAGATATGGCGTGCATCTAACAGACATACAGACAGAACAAATACCTATCAACATACTTACCAATTAAAATCGATAAGTAATGAGTCTCTGCAATACTCTTCTGTGTCCACCAATAAAATTTTTGCTTTTTTGTACTTGTTGGGTTGTTCATAAAATTTTTCATGATTTTCCACCTATGTAAATATTGCCTATCATTGCATTCTGTTCAGACAATTTTTTTGTGTTTATAGCTTATTTACAATCATCCCCAGCTAATATTTCTCTATTTCGAAGTTAATAAGCCTACTGAGGCCACTACTTGTACATAATATGTACCGGTAAGTCTTTTTTGAAAGTCCCAGCTCAGCATTACCTGCCTATTTTATTTCTTTCTGGTAGCGATTCCACCATTGATAGCCGTAATTTTTTTTACTGTGCTATAATATTTGTGTTTACAGTATTACTATAAAGTTCATTGCAGTAATATTTTCTTTATTCTGAATATGTATCATTGTATTCTGCTGTGTTTTAATCATTTGCTTCATATATTCACAGCTAAATAAATGTTATAAATTAATATATTATCTGGGAATGGCTGCACAAGAATTAACACTTTTATCAAAGTTTCAAGGAGTATCTCTCGGTGCACTATTTGGAGATTGTTTGGGAGCTAACTTTTGAAAATGACTGGAAAACACTTCCTTATGAAACTGTGAAATCATATTATGATACCATCAATGACGAAGTTACTGACGCACGAAGATCTGGATTTTCTAGCATCGAAGAAGGTTATGTGCGATAAACCGATGACCTTTGACCTGGGGGAATCTTTAGTCAGGATGAAAATCTACGATCCCAATGATATTTCTAAGCGTTTTTCAGATACTTATTTCTGTTCCCCACTGGGTAGGAACTACGGTAATCATGTTACAGATTGTTTTCGGAAACGAAGAATCGATGAATACAAACATGATGTTTATAGAGAACTTTTAATAAATTAAAAAAGTTTACATTAAAGTTTTTCTTTTAGTTAAAATTTGGATAATAATTTATGTTAGCGAGAAGAGCCGCACAAAAAGTCGCGCGAGCCGCGGTGTGCCCACTTCTGCTCTATGGCAGTGGTCGGCAACCACCGGGCCGCGGCCCATCGCCGGTCCGCGGAAAGGCGACTGCCGGTCCGCAAAGAGGTGACACAAAAACGGACAAGGCCGTAATAAAACCTCTACAATCTAACCACAAACGCTAGGACTAAAAAACAGCACCCAACAGTAAACCAGACAAACACAACACCAGGGGTCGGAAAAAATGCGGCCCGCCAGCTAATTCGTTGCGGCCCTTGAACGACCCGACATTAAATAAATAAAACAAAAATTATTCCCGAATTTATTATTGTCTTTACGCGGATTTATGTGGTGACAAGTGCTGCTGTACGGCGCTTCTTATGTAACAAGTAGCGTCAGTTGTATGTCGTTCGAGTTAATTTTGATTTTTAAAATTTGAAAATGTCTGCAAAACGGAGCGACGTGGATCGAGCATTTCAAAGTGCTTGAACGGAAAAATGTTTTCTTCCTTGCGCATTCCAAAACCGGTTTGCCCGATATGCCCAGTCAGCATCGCAGTTGTCGAGGGTTTCAATGTTAAACTCGTTACGAAACGAGTCGTCGAAAATTCGACCCCGGGACTGCGCCCCAGCTCATCTGTGCGACAGTGCAAAACGTATAATGTGCACGTTCGGAAGAACATATGGCCTTGAGCAGCTTCATCTAAAATGCATTACACTTAGATTAAATTTCGTACTCGCTTGTCAGATCATCATTTGAGCGACGTGTTGCCATAAAACATCATCTTTCACATTGATAATAAGTACATAAAAACAATGTATTGCTGGATAATAAAACGCCACCTATACATCTCATTGGGACAGGCTTTCAACACAGCAATAGAAGAGTAGCAATGCGATTGCGCCATAATTTGAAGTTTGATAATTATGGAAGCAATTGTTCGAAGGCGGGAATATTGCGGCCCGCGCGCTACCAGAAATGTTTATATTTGGCCCGCAAGTACATGAAGTTTGCCGACCACTGCATAACACTATTGAGCAACATGTCTGATTTCATAAACAATTGCCATGTCAGTATGTCGCAATAATGCTGGGTCAATTGTTTTCTCCACGTCTCTCATCAGTCCGACAAAGATCTCCCCAACAAAACGATACAGGCATTGTTAACCTTCCCGAAATCTTAATGCGAGGCCTGATTTTCAGTACTGATAACTACAAAAACGAAATAGGCTGGAAGTAAGAAACACGCTACGTGTGTCAATGTCGACCATATCTCGAATATGGGAACAGGTAATGACCATCAAACAAATACAGACATCACATTAAATAGCATCACCGTCGTTTTTAGCATATTGTCAGCATAAATTTCCTAATGCGTATAATTTATTGCATAGGCCTAGTTCGTTTGTATAAAGGTGGTCCGCCAAAAGTTTGATCAAGCTTTACCGGTCCGTCACTTGGAAAAGGTTGCCGACCACTGCTCTATGGTATTACCGGTAATTAGAAACTCGTTCGAGTTTTCAGAATATTTTAAACCTAAGCTCACATATTATCTTTTTGAATTATAATTGCCACGAGACGTTCCTTTCTACAAAGCCTAAGATTTTTTAATCCGTCTTGGGCCGGATTTTTCATTACTTTTGCACGCTTTGCTGATCTACTTTCGTTATAATTTTTATCATGTGACTTATACACGATATACACGAAGTACAAGACGCACCTTCATGCTGTACGACAACTTGACAGCTTTTGCTGAGATACCTAGATAAATCGATTTAAGTGCTGAACATGGAAGAATAGAATCAGTATTATCAGTACAGCAATATTAGAGGTAACCAACTATATTTTGTTGAGGTATCGCTAAAGACTCGCCTTGTATGTGGGATGAATTTGTTTTGAATAAATTGGGCACGGAATCCAATTGCATGGCTTATAAACGTTTTCATATCCCTTGCACAAATGAAGTTCAGATATATATAATTTTTAGGCACTCTTCAATGGGCATAGTTTTTATACATATATTATCCAATAACGGATTTTGCGGGACTGGAATGCCGTGTTAATATAAAGATATGGTTAGATCTTCATTAACTTCTAAGATTGTGTCTGTTGTGTAATTCGAATTATTCAGCATGAATTTGATGATTTGACTGATTCAAATATGAAGGGGACAACTCTTTCCTAAAAGATGGACGGAGTTCGGAAATAATTAGAAATTCTGTGTGGTTCTGCGGGTCTCCTAACTAAATTTCTTCTTGCCATTGGTTTTTGATGCGAAAGTTTTTTTTCGGGTAACTTCAGACTTGGAAGTGATCCAGGAAGAAGCCACGATTTTATTGACGCTACAAAAAAACAAAACCTTTATTAAATGACAAATGTATAATGTATTTAACTAATATATATAGAAAGCGGCTTCAATTCGTGGTTACTGTTATACCTGGGAAAGAAAAAATACAATCATCTGTATAAATGAAACAAACGTAGAATACTTACATTTATGAATTTCTTTTGTATGAAAATGGTCTTCACAAATAAATACATTACCATGATGAAGGCGTTTGCCGAAACTTAGGTTCGATGGATCGCGATATTTTAATAAAATGGATATCGTGTCTTTGCGTCAGTTTGCTGTGTCAACACCTGTGGTTATTTAATAAAAAAAAACTTGGAAAATCTGAATTTTTTATAGCCTATATTAACATAACTTCACAATTGTTTAACTATACACTGAAAAAGCAACAATATTTGAGAGTGTTTGTGCGACTTTAGCTACCGGTACTGTTCAGTACATCCGTGTAAAATTATTGTATAAATAATATGCTGATTCAGAGCCGTACCTGGCCAGCGTCGGTGGGGAGTTTTCGATGGCTGTTTTACCCAACTAATAACATTAAAGTTTTCGTTTTTTTTTACATCTGCGCAAAATACCCTACCTAATATTGTAATTAGGTGACCAGTTGAGGTATATTTGGATTCTCCCCTACATTTTAACTTGCTGTAGTACTATATGCTGTGTCCTGCGTGTGTATAAAGTTTTTATCCTTGGTCGAATTTATGCTGTGTATAGCATGCAAATGTGTAAGGGTTAGTGTGATGTTAATGACTAAGATAATGGCATACATGTGTGTGGTTTGATCGACATCAAAAGATTTTTGCATGGTTTGTGAACAATTTCTCTTGTGTCCCAACCACAATCTCTTTTCTCTCAGGTCTTTCAACTAGCAGTCTAATGATATTTAATTAATATTAATCAATATTTACACAATTCAACAACTTCCACTCAAAGGTGTAGGGTAGTTTTCTATTGATTCCTTATTTGCAATCATTGAATATTGTACTCGCAGATATATTTTTCGTTTTTCAGGACGTCATGATGATCAATTTAAATGCTATCTATGTCAACATGAAAGGTGTATACATCAACAAAACTTGGAGACTGATGAATCATCCGTGATGAATTTGAACTGACCGCAGTGATCAACAACCTCAATTAAAGTTACTTGCCTATAATCCATGACCCTAGAAACCTTACTTGAACCTTAAACACCATATATATTCCCTTAACCAATTTTCCTACCTCTGTATCATACCGCCCTAATTAATTTTAATTATGATTACCGATACTGTTATTGATTAATAGTATTTAAAATAATTTGGACGTTATTTGGCTTGTTGTGGATTCTATTTGATGAGTGAAGCAGGTCTAGCCCACCTCTTCATACATCCAACTTGGCAATTCTGATTGGGCAATTTGGCATTAGATGACTCCAATTACAATCAGCTTGACGATATCTTTTGAGGAATACTTTTCTATCCACAATACATAACAACGTTTCGGTCTAACAACCACTTAGCATACATCAGAATAATGTTTAACTTACCTCTTATTTTTTTTTCCCATTTCTAACTCTTCTTATTGTTATCGTATATATATTAGCCTATTTACCTCCAACACACAGCCTCTGCATAGCCCCACGAGTGTGTATTTAAAACATTGCTTAGCTTGTAAATTAATTAAAACTATCCGGTGATGTCCCTCTCAAATGCGATACCGGCACTGCGCCAAGAGGACAAAAGTCTTTAGCGCAGCCACAGAATAACCACGGCAGTCCGGCTCTCTTGGTTGGTTGTTCAATGATATGCGGTCACCATGGCGACCGCGGCCTGTCGTGTCTGGAGTTGCTTTCTTTCGTTATTATCCGGGTTACCGGGTCGCTTAATGGCGTCTCAAGTCCGGCTTTTGTTAGTATTTTATGTTTGACTTCTTTCTCATTATGATTTAATATTAGACTTACTGCCTCAAAGGTGACGCTGCTCGATAACCTTCTCTGGTTTATCGCGTCTCCCTTCACACTGAAATGTAATTTTTCATTTTTTTCAATTTTGTTCGTCAATGTTTACATTCGGTTTGGGATTAAATAAACTACTGACTGTTGACTAATTCGGTATCCAATTTGGCAATCCTCATAAAATTATTAATTTGGTGTGACAAAAGAATTTATTCATTTTTTTCTTCATTTGTTTGTATATTTTCCTTCCTTTTTACTTTTAAGTCTCGCTTTTTTCGCTTCCGACAGTATCATGTCTCGATGATTGTGTGTGCGTGTGTGCCTTAATTAGTTTTTTTTTTTTACTTTTGGGTGAGCGAACACGTACTACTCCTTTTATCAATACCTTTCCATCTAAAATATGTACGTTTCAAACCTTACTCTAGGTTTTGTTCACTTTCCCGATTCTATAATCAGTTACTTTTACTTTTGTTTTTATCTATTTTTTTATCGTCTATTGCTGATTATGGAGTCGGAATAAACTTATACTTATTATTATACGTCATGACTTCACTTTCCAGCAGACGTACGTATTTCCGGTGAATAATGTTAGCGCAACCATCCCATAATTATGACGGTGCAGTTATAGAGAGTGAGATATTTTATTTCCGCAAGACTATGTTAAAAACATAATTGAAATTTTATAGAAATACGGTACCGGTACACTGGTAGGCTGTAGTCGCGGGCCTGGGTTTGGACCATCCCGAGGTAGACGATAATGGGATAGTAATATGCAAAATTAGGTGTGGTAGAGTACGGTACTACGTATTTATCGTCATGATTTTTGTAAAAGAATGAAAGTGACAAGAGAGAGAGGCAGAGAGCTAGACTACATAACTATGAATTTTATATACCTAAGTCTCAGTGATGATCCATCTTGGATTAGTTGAGCTCTAGGATAGGTACCATATTTGAGGTGAAAAAATTGAACTCGTGCTCTGAAACTGCGATGTCAAGGTTTTTTTTAATATTTTGAATTGCCTAGTTAGACTTCAACTGCCATATCACATTATGTTCTGATGTTTGTCCGGATACGGTACCGGTAATGATTTAAATTAATCGTGTTGGTTTTTTTTTCTCAATGCTATGAAAATATACTTTTTCCTTTGGTGAATCAAACTATTTTTTTCTGAGGAATTCAATGGTAACGTTTTTAGATTGCGCTTGCTTTTATTATATTCTGCAGTGTCGGTTTGCCTATATAGAGGCCCAGACTGTCCTAAATAGAGGGGTTTGCACGGGTCTTACTACTTACTGAATACAGCGCGAAACACCGCAAAGAGCGCAAAAGAGCGCGAAACAGCGCAAAATAGCGCGAAACAGCGCAAAAGAGAGGAAAACAGCGCGAAACAGAAGGAAACCAGCGCAAAACAGAGGGAAACAGCGCAAAACAGGAGACGCAGTCATTACCACCTCCTGCCACGAAAGAACCACGGCGCCTCTCGCTATGGTTTTATGGCGCTATTTCCGGCATATTTACAAGGTTATGTACTGGATTATAGGTCATCATGCGAAATTTTATCTACCTTTTTGGTGCTCCAGAAGTATGTGCAGCAATATGTCGCACAACCTGAATCCACTACACACACACACACATACTATTTTCAGGTTGTGCGCCATCTTGGTGCACATACTTCTGGAGGTCCCTTTTTACCTAACCCTAACCCTAAAGCCAACCATATCCATATGGAAAATGTTCTAAATTATGGTACCCAAAATGTGTCACCAGCAGGGGCAGACCTGCCATTACAGCATTACTGGCTACATACGTTGGTTTGTGTTTTTAATTTGCTGCCGTGGTACTCCAACTCAAAACAAGGTGCCCCGAACTCATTGCAAAATTTTTTTCTGCTTCACACTGTTTCCCTCTGTTTTGCGCTCTTTCGCGCTGTTTTGCGCTGTTTCCACACTGTTTTGCGCTGTTTTGCGCTCTTTGCGGTGTTTTGCGCTGTATTCAGTAAGTAGTAAGACCGGTTTGCACTTATTGTTATAATTGATGTATTTCAATGTGGGACTATTCTTGGAGTCGCAGACTGTCTTGTAAATCAACCGTCTTGTAAAGGAAGGGTCTGCTCTAACTGTTATAATTGATGTCTTTCAATGTGGGGCTATTCTCGAAATCGTAGAACTATGCGGTACTGTGGCTTGCGTTACGAATGGCCGAGTGTTATTGGTGCTATTGCAGTATACTGTGGTTGAAGACAGGATATGTATATTCATCTAACTTTTAAATGTAGTCAATTTTTTATTTACGTGACAAATAAACATACTGTGTTCATGCCAGATTTTTAGTTATCTTGGTTTAAATATGGCAACTCAAGAATTGGAATTGTCTCTTCTGTCAAGGTTCCAAGGAGTTTCTCTCGGAGCTTTATTTGGGGACTGTTTGGGAGCTAAATTTGAAAATAATTGGAGCATTTTGCCATATGATAAAGTTATCTCTTATTATGAAACAATCAAAGATAAGGTTGCTATGGAAACACCAAAAGCTGATTCTGGTTTTGTTCATTACACTGATGACACCTGCATGACCTTTGACCTTGCTAAATCGCTGACTAAAAATAGGAAGTTCAAGCCACAAGATGTCGCTAAGCGATTTACAGAGACGTTTTTTGCTTCGCCAAAAGAAAGGAATTACGGAAAACATGTTGCGAAAGTCTTTAGTGAACTGAAAGAAAACAGTTGCCGTGGTGATGTTTATAAACCAGCAAGTGAACAGTTTGGTGGTTCTGGTTCCTATGGAAACGGTTCCGCTATGAGGGTTTCACCAGTTGCTTTGTTACATCATGATAATATTATCGAGATGTTAACCTTGGTAGTTGCGCAATCTAAGCTAACCCACACAAACCCAAGAGGAATCAACGGTGCCGTACTACAAGCGCTTGCAATTGAAAAAGCTATGACATCGGGAAAAATTGATAATGCTAAAATATTTTGCCAAGAATTATTAGATCAATTTAAAGAAATCACACCTATTAAAGAAGACATGGAAATTTTTGAAAATGGAATGTCAAATGTGATGGAATTACTTGAAAAAGAGGGTGAAGTTACACCAAGAGAAATTGTCTCGAAACTTGGTACGGGTGTGTTAGCTATCCAGGCCGTTCCGCCAGCAATTTTCTTTTTCTTACACTCACTAAAAACTAACAATGTTCCAACATTATCAACTTACAATGGCATGGTTAGAACTGTTCTTTACGCCACTTCTGTGAGCCATGACTCTGACACAGTTGCTTGTATGGCAGGGGCAATAGCTGGCGCATATTATGGAGTGGATTCTATCCCATCAGAATGGGTCACAGTCACAGCTTGTGAGGGTTCTGATAAGGCTATGAAACTTGCTAATAAGCTCTATAAAATGAATGAGAGTAGTAGGAAGAACAAGAAGCCCTGATCCAAAAGGCTGCAAACATTTAATTATGAAGTTTTTTAGCTATATTAATGTCCAAGCTATTTGAATTAACCCTTCATCCTGGAATTCCATTTTTACTTACGTTTTCTTTGTTTTGTTGTTCATACAAAGTGTGGAAAAATAAACTACTGATTTGGAGATTCTGAAATGTTTATTATAATATTACTATATTTCTCTGAAATTTGTCTCTTTGTTATATTCATAGAAGGAATCTCTGGTTATTTTTGAGGAGATATGGAAATCATGATCCTACAACAATGTAAAAGTTGAAAATTTTTTTTAGGAATTTTTATCTATTACAAAAACTTGATAATAATAGATATCACTGTTTTTATACACATTTGCCTTAATGCACTCATTGTATTAATAGGGTAAATCTCCGGTTTCTGGGGAGATGTAATGCATTTTTGTTGTGAAACACGTGTACTGGACCTATTGACTTTCAGTAACTGAAAGATGATCAGATAGCTATTACATTTGTATATTTTTCGAGTCCTTCGGGACCATTGAATTTAAAAATTTGCTGTTTATATTTAATTCTTGGGAATACACCTTAATCGACATCTGCAATCATTAAATCATAGAAAATTTTATAGCACCTATGGCAGGTGCCATAGCTGGGCCATGGATTCTATCCAATCAGAATGGGTCACAGCTTGTGAGGGTTCTGATAAGGCTATGAAACTTGCTAATAAGCTGTATAAAATGAATGAAAACAGTAGAAAGAATAAAAAATCTTGAATCGTTGTAGGGTGAATGGCTCTCGGGGTTTTGTTGTCGTCTCTATAGATTCACTCATCATTATCTTTATTTTCTTATTGAGTTCTCGCGGCCTTGTTTTGAATATTCCTAAAAAGGGCTGTGGATTCATAGGCCTTCTAATTGATGATTTTAGCTATATTAAAATACAAGCTATTCTCATAGTTTATGGTACAAATTTTTAATATATATTAAAATATAAATATTACTGTTTCATTTTTTAAATTTACCTATTTGCAGTAAGATGTCTATTTTATTCGTACCAAAATTCTTTGATTTTTTCTGACGGGATACAGAAAAACAATTAACATTCTTTCTCGATCATTATTCGATTCCAAGATACCTTATACGATGGGCTATCAATGTGGCCTTTTCAATTGGTGTACATGAAACTGGACTTAAGTATCGCATAGATATAGACTTATTGAATTTCTTAGCAAGTGCTGGACCTAGTAAGTTCAACTTTTGAATACTTCGAAGATGGAGGGGGTGTCAGAAAACTATTACATTTGTATACTTCTCCCTGGGACAATTTTATCAAAATAAATCTGTTCATATTTAATTATTGGGAAAATTTTCTTTTCAATATCTGCTACAATTATTTTTTTGTTGGCATTGCAATATTTTATTTAGTTTGCCTACTTTATTTGCATTTTCATGTTTTTGATGTTGACCTCGTGGGTCTGGAATAATAAACAAAAGAGAATATCGGTCAGAGACCGAAGACTTATCGATCGAAAGTTAGGGGATCCCCCAAAACAGCGCCCTCACTCCATAGTGACACCTTGCGTCCCATCACTAATCAATTAAGAACTCGCTTGAATGCACATGCAAAATCTGGAGCAGATTCAATCTCGCTTTCGTGAGATATGGCGTGCATCTAACAGACATACAGACAGACAAATACCTAAATACCCAACATACTTACCAATTAAAATCGATAAGTAATGAGTCTCTGCAATACTCTTCTGAGTCCACCAATAAAATTTTTGCTTTTTTGTACTTGTTGGGTTGTTCATAAAATTTTTTATGATTTTCCATCTATGTAAATATTGCCTATCATTGCATTCTGTTCAGACAATTTTTTTGTGTTTATAGCTTATTTACAATCATCCCCAGCTAATATTTCTCTATTTCGAAGTTAATAAGCCTACTGAGGCCACTACTTGTACATAATATGTACCGGTAAGTATTTTTTGAAAGTCCCAGCTTAGCATTACCTGCCTATTTTATTTCTTTCTGGTAGCGATTCCACCATTGATAGCCGTAATTTTTTTTACTGTGCTATAATATTTGTGTTTACAGTATTACTATAAAGTTCATTGCAGTAATATTTTCTTTATTCTGAATATGTATCATTGTATTCTGCTGTGTTTTAATCATTTGCTTCATATATTCACAGCTAAATAAATGTTATAAATTAATATATTATCTGGGAATGGCTGCACAAGAATTAACACTTTTATCAAAGTTTCAAGGAGTATCTCTCGGTGCACTATTTGGAGATTGTTTGGGAGCTAACTTTGAAAATGACTGGAAAACACTTCCTTATGAAACTGTGAAATCATATTATGATACCATCAATGACGAAGTTACTGACGCACGAAGATCTGGATTTTCTAGCATCGAAGAAGGTTATGTGCGATAAACCGATGACCTTTGACCTGGGGGAATCTTTAGTCAGGATGAAAATCTACGATCCCAATGATATTTCTAAGCGTTTTTCAGATACTTATTTCTGTTCCCCACTGGGTAGGAACTACGGTAATCATGTTACAGATTGTTTTCGGAAACGAAGAATCGATGAATACAAACATGATGTTTATAGAGAACTTTTAATAAATTAAAAAAGTTTACATTAAAGTTTTTCTTTTAGTTAAAATTTGGATAATAATTTATGTTAGCGAGAAGAGCCGCACAAAAAGTCGCGCGAGCCGCGGTGTGCCCACCCCTGCTCTATGGCAATGGTCGGCAACCACCGGACCGCGGCCCATCGCCGGTCCGCGGAAAGGCGACTGCCGGTCCGCAAAGAGGTGACACAAAAACGGACAAGGCCGTAATAAAACCTCTACAATCTAACCACAAACGCTAGGACTAAAAAACAGCACCCAACAGTAAACCAGACAAACACAACACCAGGGGTCGGAAAAAATGCGGCCCGCCAGCTAATTCGTTGCGGCCCTTGAACGACCCGACATTAAATAAATAAAACAAAAATTAATCCCGAATTTATTATTGTCTTTACGCGGATTTATGTGGGGACAAGTGCTGCTGTACGGCGCTTCTTATGTAACAAGTAGCGTCAGTTGTATGTCGTTCGAGTTATTTTTGATTTTTAAAATTTGAAAATGTCTGCAAAACGGAGCGACGTGGATCGAGCATTTCAAAGTGCTTGAACGGAAAAATGTTTTCTTCCTTGCGCATTCCAAACCGGTTTGCCCGATATGCCCAGTCAGCATCGCAGTTGTCGAGGGTTTCAATGTTAAACTCGTTACGAAACGAGTCGTCGAAAATTCGACCCCGGGACTGCGCCCCAGCTCATCTGTGCGACAGTGCAAAACGTATAATGTGCACGTTCGGAAGAACATATGGCCTTGAGCAGCTTCATCTAAAATGCATTACACTTAGATTAAATTTCGTACTCGCTTGTCAGATCATCATTTGAGCGACGTGTTGCCATAAAACATCATCTTTCACATTGATAATAAGTACATAAAAACAATGTATTGCTGGATAATAAAACGCCACCTATACATCTCATTGGGACAGGCTTTCAACACAGCAATAGAAGAGTAGCAATGCGATTGCGCCATAATTTGAAGTTTGATAATTATGGAAGCAATTGTTCGAAGGCGGGAATATTGCGGCCCGTGCGCTACCAGAAATGTTTATATTTGGCCCGCAAGTACATGAAGTTTGCCGACCACTGCATAACACTATTGAGCAACATGTCTGATTTCATAAACAATTGCCATGTCAGTATGTCGCAATAATGCTGGGTCAATTGTTTTCTCCACGTCTCTCATCAGTCCGACAAAGATCTCCCCAACAAAACGATACAGGCATTGTTAACCTTCCCGAAATCTTAATGCGAGGCCTGATTTTCAGTACTGATAACTACAAAAACGAAATAGGCTGGAAGTAAGAAACACGCTACGTGTGTCAATGTCGACCATATCTCGAATATGGGAACAGGTAATGACCATCAAACAAATACAGACATCACATTAAATAGCATCACCGTCGTTTTTAGCATATTGTCAGCATAAATTTCCTAATGCGTATAATTTATTGCATAGGCCTAGTTCGTTTGTATAAAGGTGTTCCGCCAAAAGTTTGATCAAGCTTTACCGGTCCGTCACTTGGAAAAGGTTGCCGACCACTGCTCTATGGTATTACCGGTAATTAGAAACTCGTTCGAGTTTTCAGAATATTTTAAACCTAAGCTCACATATTATCTTTTTGAATTATAATTGCCACGAGACTTTCCTTTCTACAAAGCCTAAGATTTTTTAATCCGTCTTGGGCCGGATTTTTCATTACTTTTGCACGCTTTGCTGATCTACTTTCGTTATAATTTTTATCATGTGACTTATACACGAAGTACAAGACGCACCTTCATGCTGTACGACAACTTGACAGCTTTTGCTGAGATACCTAGATAAATCGATTTAAGTGCTGAACATGGAAGAATAGAATCAGTATTATCAGTACAGCAATATTAGAGGTAACCAACTATATTTTGTTGAGGTATCGCTAAAGACTCGCCTTGTATGTGGGATGAATTTGTTTTGAATAAATTGGGCACGGAATCCAATTGCATGGCTTATAAACGTTTTCATATCCCTTGCACAAATGAAGTTCAGATATATATAATTTTTAGGCACTCTTCAATGGGCATAGTTTTTATACATATATTATCCAATAACGGATTTTGCGGGACTGGAATGCCGTGTTAATATAAAGATATGGTTAGATCTTCATTAACTTCTAAGATTGTGTCTGTTGTGTAATTCGAATTATTCAGCACGAATTTGATGATTTGACTGATTCAAATATGAAGGGGACAACTCTTTCTTAAAAGATGGACGGAGTTCGGAAATAATTAGAAATTCTGTGTGTTTCTGCGGGTCTCCTAACTAAATTTCTTCTTGCCATTGGTTTTTGATGCGAAAGTTTTTTTTCGGGTAACTTCAGACTTGCAAGTGATCCAGGAAGATTCAGATTCAGATATTTATTTCCGTCATGCAAGAAATATTGTACAAATAAACAGTAAAAATAAATCGAGAGAAGAAATAACAGACGTACAATAATTCGACTGCAATAGACGAGGAGTCGCGAATAAACTATAAAGTTAACGTGTCAGCGACACCTAAATAGCTGTAAACAGCAGCAGATGAAGTCAAATAAACAGGATTTAAACATATATATTTTTTGAATGAACACAATTTGGAAAATGTAAGTCGAATTGGGGAAGTCAGTTGGGAGAAAATAGTTAAATCGAAGATAATCATGAGAAACGAGAGAAAAACAAGAGCGCGTCAGGAGGGGAAAAAATGCTCAAATCGTCAGCGTCATGCTCGGGTCGGCACCGTCACAGCTGTCGGGCTTCTGATTGACATGACGCTGCCTTGCGGAGATAAATTACGGGGAATTCCCAGCAAACCACAATAAGGGAATTAGTTTTGGAGGTATAAATACATAATGAAGTTTGGGCAACAGAATCACAATACGAGAGGTTAAGTACACGGCGAAGAGATTTGGGGCAACGTAGCTTGTGGAAGAATAGTGAAAATATTCAATAACACTGGAAATGAATGATATGAACAAATAAGAAAAACATCACATTCAGCAAAATTGTCATCAAATACAGGATTGATGACCAGTGAATTAGACTACTGGATGTTATAGGTAAGCATTGAGGTAGTGATTTTTTAATTCTTTTTTAAATGTATTATAGTTCTTAGAGCGTATGGTAACTGGAAGCATATTCCAAAGTTTTATACCAATGAACCTAATGGAATTTTGTGTGCGGCTAGATGAATAGCGAGTTATATAAAATGAGCTATTGGCAGAAGACCGAGTTGCATGAGAGTGAATGACGCTTTGCTTAACAAAATAGCCGGAGAATGCAGCCGGCAGTTTTTTATTATGATGTTGGTGCATAATTTTCAGCACTTCAGTTTTATAAATATCTGCATTTTTAAGTATTTTCATCTTATAATAGTAGGATTCTAAATTGCACCGAGGTCCGGCGTGTGTAAGAGCACGGATTGCCCTGTTTTGCATGACTTCAATACGATGCAGTAACATTTTGCTTGCTGAACCCCAGGCCGCAATGCCATATTGGATATGGGACTGGAACAGAGCATAATAAACCATACGTAAAGTTGACACTGAGGTGTATGATCGAAGTTTATACAACATTCCTACCGCCTTAGATAATTTAACGGTAATGTTGGATATGTGAATATCCCAGTTCAATTTATTGTCAATATCGATACCAAGATATTTATACGATTCCACATTTTCCAGAATAGTCCCCCAATTTGGATTTTTAAACCATCAATGCGTTTTGGTTTTTTAGGAGTTATCAACATAGTTTTTGATTTATCCACATTTAATGTTAGTTTGTTAAGTTCCATCCAATGAGCAACCTTTTGTATTTCAGTATTCACTCTGGATTGAAGCACAACATGAGACTTATCACTATCGAGAAGGTTCGTATCGTCAGCGAATAATTTGGAAAATAGAGTGGAGCTACGTGCAAGATCATTAATATAAATTAAGAACAGAGCCGGACCCAAGGACGAACCCTGGGGAACCCCATGGGTCACAGGTAAGACAGAGGAGCAATATGTACCTATTTGAACATATTGAGTTCTACTTGTCAAATAACTAGTAAGGAGTTGATTTGCTACCCCCCTAATACCGTAATGCCACAACTTATACATTAAAATTTTGTGGTTGACAGTATCAAAAGCTTTTTTAAGGTCGAGAAATGTTGCACTGACATATTCTTTCCTCTCTAATTTATCATATATATGAGAAATAGTATCTAAGATGGCATGTGACGTGGAGTGATTGCTTTGAAAACCGAACTGTGATTTATTTATAACATCGTGCTTTGTAAAGAAGTCCATTAGCCTCCTGTAAATTAGACGTTCAAAAACCTTATCAACAGCAGATAATATGGATATAGGTCTGTAATTTGAAATTTGTTTTGTATTACCAGATTTGAAGATTGGAATTACTCTGGCAATTTTCAGTGAAGATGGAAATATCCCCAATCGAAGTGAATTATTAAAAAACTCAGTTATACAAGGTGCTATGATGTCTGCCACATACTTAAGGAAACGACTGGGAATGTTGTCAGCGCCAACCGCTTTACCCTCATTGAGGCATACTATTTCCATGGTCAGTTCATTCACTGTTGCAGGACTTAAGAATATGGATTGATTTACACGCTTGCTTAGAAATATTTTAAAGCCATCCATATCATTGGAGAATTTAGTACCAAGGTTGGACCCAACAGTGGAAAAATATTTATTGAATTCTTGTGCAATCAAGGACTTATCTTTAATGGTTCTGCCATTTTCCAAATCAATTTCATTAACACTTTTGGTTTTTTTATTTTTAGTAGATGCTATTTGATTAACAATTCGCCAAGTACACTTGGGGTTGCCTTTGTTTTGGGCAATCAATTTTTGAAAATACATTTGTTTAGCATCTTCAATGGCATGTGTTAGTGAATTGCGATATTTTTTATAGTATGAGGATTGAGAACTATTGCCGCATAAGTGGTGAGATTTGAACATCTTATGTCTTAAACAGATGCTGTCACGTAATTTTTTATTTATCCACGGTTTTTGCTTTATCTTTATTTGTCGACGTGACAGTGGTCTCAATGGGGCATGGCGGTTGATTAGGCAAGCAATAGAATGCATAAATTCTGCAAATAGTCTATCAAAATTATGACAATTCAAGTTTAACGCGACAAAGCGTTCATCAACTATGTGTAGTATGTCTGACCGAAATTCATCGATAGAGAATGAAGACATATCCCTTGATAATATGACATCATTTATAGTGGATGGTTTAATGCCTTTAAGACAGCACATTATGGGAAAATGATCAGTGATATCAATTTCATTAACACTTTTGGTTTTTTTATTTTTAGTAGATGCTATTTGATTAACAATTCGCCAAGTACACTTGGGGTTGCCTTTGTTTTGGGCAATCAATTTTTGAAAATACATTTGTTTAGCATCTTCAATGGCATGTGTTAGTGAATTGCGATATTTTTTATAGTATGAGGATTGAGAACTATTGCCGCATAAGTGGTGAGATTTGAACATCTTATGTCTTAAACAGATGCTGTCACGTAATTTTTTATTTATCCACGGTTTTTGCTTTATCTTTATTTGTCGACGTGACAGTGGTCTCAATGGGGCATGGCGGTTGATTAGGCAAGCAATAGAATGCATAAATTCTGCAAATAGTCTATCAAAATTATGACAATTCAAGTTTAACGCGACAAAGCGTTCATCAACTATGTGTAGTATGTCTGACCGAAATTCATCGATAGAGAATGAAGACATATCCCTTGATAATATGACATCATTTATAGTGGATGGTTTAATGCCTTTAAGACAGCACATTATGGGAAAATGATCAGTGATATCAGATGATATCACATATGAATTAACTTGCACATCTGTCATGTTTGAATACATGTGGTCTATAAGAGTGGAAGAGCTACGTGTAACTCTAGTAGGCTTTGAAATGAGAGAAATAGCATTATAGGAAGTAAGCATATCAGAATAAGATGCAATTTGGGTGTTGGTATTTGATGCGAGTAAATTGATATTAAGATCTCCCACTATTATAAAATGTTTTTTAGATAATTTTGACATGCAGTTTTCAACAATGCTTGTAAATTCAGGAATATCACTTCTCGGATGTTTATAAATAATGCCAATGCTCATATTATTGAATACATTTGTTAGGCTAATTTCGAACCATAAGTCTTCAGAATTTGGATAATTGAGTTGATAGTCACTAACTTCACAATAAGTAATGTCGTTTCTGATGAAGGCACCCACACCCCCTGCTTTTGAAGCAGAAGGGGTATGAATGAATCTGTATCCATCAATGCTTATATTGGAGGAGTGACTATTACCGGTATGTAATTTTGTTTCACTAATTGCTATTATATGAGGGGGAATAGTGAATTTTGACAACAGTTCAATTAATGGGTCAATATTTTTTTGAATTGATCGAATGTTGATGTGAATAATTGTTAAATCAATATCAACTGGAATATCATTCAAATTTGAAACTTCTATGTTGTCACATAGACAATTAGAAATATTAGCCATTTATCTTAGGGAGAATATGAAAAATGGATATATATACACTTGATAATATTAAAAGTTAATAAATAGACATGAATATCATATAATAACCTACTTTATTAAAAGCAGATCATCTTCAGTGATTATGGGGATGGTAGCAGTATCCAGGTTCTTTTTGATAAGAACTCTTCCATTATTTGTCCATAAAAATTTATATCCACAAGCACGCTTTAAATCCCTGGCTTTAAAAAATAGGTCTTTATTGGTATCCGAAAGATTTTCGATGACAAATACTTTGGTTGACCTGGAGATTTTTGGAAAAACTGTTGAAATGTCAAGTGATTTGATTTTGCTTCGATTCTTTATTATTCGGTCTCTCGTTTTTCTATTGATAAATTTGGCAATTATTGGTGATGGTTTTTTTTTATTATTTTTTGATAATCTATGGCAGTTTGAGATGTCGAATGATTGTATGGGGACATCAATTTTTTTACACAAGTCGGTAATCAGATTTTCACAGTTTTCACCGGTTGAGAATGGTATGTTGTGGAATTCCAGGTTATCAAGTCTGGAGCGACGTTCATGGTCTTGCTGTCGCTCTGTTAAAATGTCAATTTCCTCCTCTAGTTCTTGTACTAGATTTTCTAGGTCAGCCACTCTTTTTTTTGTTTTGATTGCTAATTTTTTGAGCTCACTTTGGCTGGAACAAAGCTCATCAAACTTTTTTGACATGAAGTGCTGGCTCTCTTTTATTTCATGAATCTCATTTTTGATTTGACCGAAGGATGTTACTTCTGTTTTGATCTCGTTTATAGAGTCTTTCAAAGATGTTAAAGATTCTTCTAAGCATGCACTGTTGGTGATGGCATGTGTCGAGTCAAAAGTAGATCTTTCTAGATGTTTCTCAATATGTTGTTCAATGATGGCAGGTATCTCGATGCGTAAAGTCTTAAGGACTGTACTTTCGAGAACAGACACCAAATTTGTAACGTCGTCTAACTCGATAGTGTTGGTCATTGTTGCAGCAGTACGCATAGGTTGATTGCTTGGACTCTTTCTTCTGGGTGGTGGAGAAGGAGCGCTGGATTTGCTAGGTGTATCCATCTTCCTCTACAGCTGCAATTGGAGTTGACTGTCACAAATTCACAATTGATCCAAACATCGGTTCAGCATTACCAATATTATATTTTATTTATTTATCTATCATCTTGGACAGCAAATAATGAAGAAGAAGCCACGATTTTATTGACGCTACAAAAAAACAAAACCTTTAATAAATAACAAATGTATTTAACTAATATATATAGAAAGCGGCTTCAATTCGTGGTTACTGTTATACCTGGGAAAGAAAAAATACAATCATCTGTATAAATGAAACAAACGTAGAATACTTACATTTATGAATTTCTTTTGTATGAAAATGGTCTTCACAAATAAATACATTACCATGATGAAGGCGTTTGCCGAAACTTAGGTTCGATGGATCGCGATATTTTGATAAAATGGATATCGTGTCTTTGCGTCAGTTTGCTGTGTCAACACCTGTGGTTATTTAATAAAAAAAAACTTGAAAAATCTGAATTTTTTATAGCCTATATTAACATAACTTCCCAATTCTTTAACTATACACTGAAAAAGCAACAATATTTGAGAGTGTTTGTGCGACTTTAGCTACCGGTACTGTTCAGTACATCCGTGTAAAATTATTGTATAAATAATATGCTGATTCAGAGCCGTACCTGGCCAGCGTCGGTGGGGAGGCAATCTTTTCGCCCATAACTATTCTCACGGGATTCCTATCATTCAACACGATATGGTCTTTTTTGCTTCGCATTTTTCAATCAGGCCAAATCTTGCAAACTAGTATTAGTCGACAATTGTAGAGTTATAACTTTTTGGCATCTTTATATTACTGAATTATTGATTTAAAAACCATTTAAACCGATTTACATTGGTGAGCAATTTCAAATTTTCGGCGTGCAAAGTTGAATTCGCTCGCGTGCATTTTTGCGGAGCGCTAGCGCCCTCGGGCGTGCACCTGCCATGGAATCCAAAGTGACTATAGTGACTATTTTCACTTTGGTGGAATCCAGTCTGTCTGGGGTACGCCTTGGTTTGTCCTATCGTTTTTACAATTTAACTATTCGATGGCTGTTTTACCTAACTAATAACATTAAAGTTTTCGGTTTTTTTTTTCATAAAGATACATCTGCGCAAAATACCCTACCTAATATTGTAATTAGGTGACCAGTTGAGGTATATTTGGATTCTCCCCTACATTTTAACTTGCTGTAGTACTATATGCTGTGTCCTGCGTGTGTACAAAGTTTTTATCCTTGGTCGAATTTATGCTGTGTATAGCATGCAAATGTGTAAGGGTTAGTGTGATGTTAATGACTAAGATAATGGCATACATGTGTGTGGTTTGATCGACATCGAAAGATTTTTGCATGGTCCGTGAACAATTTCTCTTGTGTCCCAACCACAATCTCTTTTCTCTCAGGTCTTTCAACTAGCAGTCTAATGATATTTAATTAATATTAATCAATATTTACACAATTCAACAACTTCCACTCAAAGGTGTAGGGTAGTTTTCTATTGATTCCTTATTTGCAATCATTGAATATTGTACTCGCAGATATATTTTTCGTTTTTCAGGACGTCATGATGATCAATTTAAATGCTATCTATGTCAACATGAAAGGTGTATACATCAACAAAACTTGGAGACTGATGAATCATCCGTGATGAATTTGAACTGACCGCAGTGATCAACAACCTCAATTAAAGTTACTTGCCTATAATCCATGACCCTAGAAACCTTACTTGAACCTTAAACACCATATATATTCCCTTAACCAATTTTCCTACCTCTGTATCATACCGCCCTAATTAATTTTAATTATGATTACCGATACTGTTATTGATTAATAGTATTTAAAATAATTTGGACGTTATTTGGCTTGTTGTGGATTCTATTTGATGAGTGAAGCAGGTCTAGCCCACCTCTTCATACATCCAACTTGGCAATTCTGATTGGGCAATTTGGCATTAGATGACTCCAATTACAATCAGCTTGACGATATCTTTTGAGGAATACTTTTCTATCCACAATACATAACAACGTTTCGGTCTAACAACCACTTAGCATACATCAGAATAATGTTTAACTTACCTCTTATTTTTTTTTCCCATTTCTAACTCTTCTTATTGTTATCGTATATATATTAGCCTATTTACCTCCAACACACAGCCTCTGCATAGCCCCACGAGTGTGTATTTAAAACATTGCTTAGCTTGTAAATTAATTAAAACTATCCGGTGATGTCCCTCTCAAATGCGATACCGGCACTGCGCCAAGAGGACAAAAGTCTTTAGCGCAGCCACAGAATAACCACGGCAGTCCGGCTCTTTTGGTTGGTGTTGGTTGTTCAATGATATGCGGTCACCATGGCGACCGCGGCCTGTCGTGTCTGGAGTTGCTTTCTTTCGTTATTATCCGGGTTACCGGGTCGCTCAATGGCGTCTCAAGTCCGGCTTTTGTTATTAGTATTTTATGTTTGACTTCTTTCTCATTATGATTTAATATTAGACTTACTGCCTCAAAGGTGACGCTGCTCGATAACCTTCTCTGGTTTATCGCGTCTCCCTTCACACTGAAATGTAATTTTTCATTTTTTTTTCAATTTTGTTCGTCAATGTTTACATTCGGTTTGGGATTAAATAAACTACTGACTGTTGACTAATTCGGTATCCAATTTGGCAATCCTCATAAAATTATTAATTTGGTGTGACAAAAGAATTTATTCATTTTTTTTTTCATTTGTTTGTATTTTTTTCTTCCTTTTTACTTTTAAGTCTCGCTTTTTTCGCTTCCGACAGTATCATGTCTCGATGATTGTGTGTGTGTGTGTGCGTGTGTGCCTTAATTAGTTTTTTTTTTTACTTTTGGGTGAGCGAACACGTACTACTCCTTTTATCAATACCTTTCCATCTAAAATCTGTACGTTTCAAACCTTACTCTAGGTTTTGTTCACTTTCCCGATTCTATAATCAGTTACTTTTACTTTTGTTTTTATCTATTTTTTTATCGTCTATTGCTGATTATGGAGTCGGAATAAACTTATACTTATTATTATACGTCATGACTTCACTTTCCAGCAGACGTACGTATTTCCGGTGAATAATGTTAGCGCAACCATCCCATAATTATGACGGTGCAGTTATAGAGAGTGAGATATTTTATTTCCGCAAGACTATGTTAAAAACATAATTGAAATTTTATAGAAATACGGTACCGGTACACTGGTAGGCTGTAGTCGCGGGCCTGGGTTTGGACCACCCCGAGGTAGACGATAATAGGATAGTAATATGCAAAATTAGGTGTGGTAGAGTACTACGTATTTATCGTCATGATTTTTGTAAAAGAATGAAAGTGACAAGAGAGAGAGGCAGAGAGCTGGACTACATAACTATAAATTTTATATACCTAAGTCTCAGTGATGATCCATCTTGGATTAGTTGAGCTCTAGGATAGGTACCATATTTGAGGTGAAAAAATTGAACTCGTGCTCTGAAACTGCGATGTCAAGGTTTTTTTTAATATTTTGAATTGCCTAGTTAGACTTCAACTGCCATATCACATTATGTTCTGATGTTTGTCCGGATACGGTACCGGTAATGATTTAAATTAATCGTGTTGGTTTTTTTTTCTCAATGCTATGAAAATATACTTTTTCCTTTGGTGAATCAAACTATTTTTTTCTGAGGAATTCAATGGTAACGTTTTTAGATTGCGCTTGCTTTTATTATATTCTGCAGTGTCGGTTTGCCTATATGGAGGCCCAGACTGTCCTAAATAGAGGGGTTTGCACTTATTGTTATAATTGATGTATTTCAATGTGGGACTATTCTTGGAGTCGCAGACTGTCTTGTAAATCAACCGTCTTGTAAAGGAAGGGTATGCTCTAACTGTTATAATTGATGTCTTTCAATGTGGGGCTATTCTCGAAATCGTAGAACTATGCGGTACTGTGGCTTGCGTTACGAATGGCCGAG